ATGGTGTATTTTTTTCTGTCCTGTTACTTTTAAACTTTCTGTATATTTAAGTTTAACATGTATCTCCTGTAAACTTTGTATAAATGATTTTCTTTTTTTGAGTGAAGAGCAGTTTATTTTTATAACTGACTTTTTTGATCCTGCCTGACAATCTTCTAATTGGAATAGTCGGTCTGTTTGCACTTGTTTACTGGCATTTCAGTTGAAGTTGCTGTCTTATTTTGTGCTATTTGTCTCACTTGTTCTGTTTCATTTCTTTTCTTTTCTTTTGACTCTTTTTTATAATTACATTTTTCCCTCTCATAGCTTGAAAGTTTTTTTTTATCTTTTTAGTGGATATCCTAAAAATTACAAAATATATATTTACTGCTTGCCGTAAGTTAAAATTAATAACTTTATCCATTTTCTAGGGAACTTAGGATACATTAACTCTATTGACTCCTTTCCCTACATATATATATAGTTGTTGTACATGTTAATTCCATCGTGTTTACTTTTTAAAATTTCACACTCATGAGTGTTTTATGCTCTCAGTGTTCATTCAGATCCGCCCACGTGTTCATCACTTGGCTCCTCACGCCCTGTTCCTTCTCTGCCCTCCCGTCTGGGATAGCGTTTCTTCCACGTGAAGTACACATCCTGAATCTCCCTGTTTTGCTAATGGCCACTCCGTCTCTGCCAGTCTGAAATATCTGTATCTTACTCCTTTTTTCAGAAACTTTTCACTGGATGTAAAATTCTGGGTTAGCAATTATTTTCCTTTCAGCCTTTTGAAGATACGCTGGTGTCTTTTGAAGATAAACAGGTGTTTACCTGTTGTCTACCTGCCACTATTTTGGATGTCATCTGGCTTTTTTCTCTGCCACCTTTTATGATTTTCTTTGCCTTTCATGTTCTGTAGTTTTGTTGTGTCTAGTGTGGATTGCTTTTTATTTAATCTGTTTAGAAATTTCTAAGCTTCCTGAATTTGTGAATGGGTATGTTTCACCATTCTGGAAAATCCTCAGTAATTGTCTCCTTATTTGGCACCTCTGTCCCCATTCTCTTTCCTTTCTTTCTGGAACTCCTGATACACAGATGTTAATCTTTCTCACTTATCTCCCTGGACTTTAGTCCCTTTTCTATATGTTTCACCTTTTTGTCTTTCTGTAGCATATTTTGAATAACTTTTTATCATCTATTCTCTGGTTGCCTCTCTTTTCAGCTGTGTCTAATCTGAATTTTTAATCTTAGTCATTGTATTTTTATTTCTAAAAGTTCTTTTTGGTTTTTCTTCAAATTAGCACTGATGATTATTTAGTTGCCTATTTCCTGCAGGTATGTTGAAGCTTGCCTTTTATTTTTACAGCAAATCCCTTAACACATTCATCATAAAGTCTCTGTCCCACAAATTCTAATATCTGGGTCATCTCTGAGTTTAATTCTGTCATTTGTTTCATCTCTTGACAATGGATTGTTTTCTCTTAATTTTTTTTTTCAGTCTTAGAATTTTTGACTGAATGCCACACATCTTGTAGAGAATAGTTGAAGCAGATGGATAATATTTACACCTGGCCATTAGTGTGGGGCACTGAGTAAATCAAGTCACAAAAATGGGTTTGCATATTTATTATTTTTACCTTTGGGATACTATGGTCTGCATCTTCCTCCATAGATGGGCTGCTGTCACCTTGTACTTAGAATCACACCTGGGTGACAGAGGTTCTGTTTTCCTGCTCCACCCTCAGCTTCCAAGTCCTGCTCACCTGTGTCATTCCACCGTCTTGTGCCCCACAACTGCTCATCTCCCACTGAGAGTAGACCTCTGCTTGGGATTGGTGTGGGATCCTGAGCCCAAGATGTTTTTCTCGCTCTCCCCAGGGGCCAGAGAACTTTGCATTTACCCCTCCCCCAGAGGCAGGAAGCTTTGCTCTGTCTCCCCAAGTGGTCACTGTCTTTCACTCATACAGGAGAAAGGTCTGAGGAAGTGGGCAGTGTTTCACATCTGTCACCAAGATCGTTACATCCCCCGCTGCCTGCCTGCGTCACCTAGGGACGTCTTCTCATCAGGCTCCTGCCCCAGTTGTTCTCATCAGCACCCAGTGGAAAGAAAACGCCCAGGTGAATGTGAACTTTTGTCATATCAAGGGTCCCGCTTATTCTAAGCTAATACTTTAGACCACACTTGGCCCTTAAAGAATTCTTTAAAATTTTAGCTGATCTCTGTTGGGAGACGATTCTTCACGGGCCTCTCGTGTTCATGCATGACTTATGCTCCTAAGAGGCACTATCTTGGTTCTGGACTGCTTTTGCAGCCTAGGAAAAGAGACCGCATCTCCTGCTAGAAGAAAGACACACTAGATTACTGTCTACTATTATAAAGATGTCTCCCTCCAGAGCAAAGGGCAGGCATGCTTAATACCCATTATAAAATATTTAGGTTCCCTGAGCTCAGGGTTCCTTCCCTGTAATGGTACCCACTGCATGTGGAGGTGTCATGGGGCCCTTCTCATTGCACTGTAGGACTGGGGTTCAGGGAACCAGCACAGAGACTGACACTCTGATTAATACTATTAGAGTGGGTAATAAAGTCCCTTGTCTCTGATTTAAGAAACTGTGGTAGGCTAACTTATAACTTGCAGATAGGGTAAAACTTAGACCTTTCCAAGTTTCTTCTTACTTGCTTTCGCGGGAGACTCCTATTCTCTGCCAATGGTGAAACAGTTCATGTATTCTGTCTCTTCTTTAAGGGGCTTGTCACTCTGGAATTTGGTTCCTTTGGCTGCCTTCTCTGATATGTATTAGAAAAGTGATTGTTGTTGTTGTTGTTAGGATGGAAGTAACATTCTCTTGCAGGTTTCTACAATCTTTGAACTTACTGATCTTTGAATTTAATGTTCTGTGCATACAGTTTAATTAGTTTTTAAAGGAAGCATTAGCTTGGGTAATAACTCCAGGAATTTTGAAAAACAGCCCATAGAGTATTTCATCACAAGCAATGGACCAAGGCTGTTTACCTTCCAGCATAGGTGAGGCAGGAGAAGGTAAAAGAATCTGATTCCTGAGGAATGAGATGTTATAGAGAATATACGTAAGCAGTGGTCACCAACTCTTACAGAGGAGTAGGGGATATAGAAGAAAACAACGACCACTTGAGGGTAGAGACAGGGCTTTTGAAGCTCTCAGAAAAGGACAGGGGAATGTAGTAGAAACACCTGGAAAGGATACGACGGCCATGCAGCAGAGCAGCAAGTGGAGTCTTAAGGATTCACAAGTTTTCCATTTCTTTGTTGTTTTTTTGCTCTCCACATTCAGTCTCCCTTTTCCTAGTAAACAGAATCTAGATTTCTTTTGTGAGGTTCACCTCTTCTGCATTGTGAAAGTCTGATTAGAGCTGCCAGTTAAAGTGCCTAGCCTTTTCCTAACCAGCATTCCCAGCACATCCTGACTCATGAAAGACAGAAAAATAGATGGAACTGATTCATTACTGAGCTATTACTTCCTGCTACATAGATCCCAAAACAGGTTTGGTTCCTATCTTTTCAAAGCATGCTTAATGTTTCTGCTAACTAACTCTGAATTACCCAATATTCTCATTTTGCTTCAGTTAACCAACGTTGAATTTTTGTTGCTTGGCAACCGAAGAAATCCAACTGCTACAGGGTCAGTGGTCCAATAGAGGGCATGACAGAGGCCAAAGGAGGCTTTGAAAGGTAGCCTGAAATCCAGATACTTTATTTAAAATTATTAAAAGAACATTAATAACTGTCAAAATTGCTGACTATGGTACAATGACTAATTGGTTTCACCTTTTATATATGCTTGTAGTAGTTAATGGTAGACTGATCATGTTTTATTTCTACAAACTGTATTTAGAGTTCACACTCATATTTCCCATGTAAGAAATAAAGACAAATGAGAATGAACTGCAATACACGTGACATGCTACAGGAAAAACATCGAAGAAGGGGTACTGGGAGGAGCAAATGATCTGTTATAATGAAACATTCAGTTGACCCTTGACTAATGTGGAGTTCAGGGGAGCCAACCCCCTGAACAAACAACTTTGCGCCCTTCACATCCATGGTTCCACATCCAGATTCAACCTACCGCAGATCTTGCAGTACATATTATTTAGTGAAAAAAACCTGCATGTACGTAGGACCATGCAGTTCAAACTCGTGTTGTTCAAGGGGTCAACTGTGTATGTATGAGAATGATTATATATAACATATATAAGAGAATAGATATTTTATCTATCTCACTCTGTGTCCTTTTTAGGGTTATTTCATTACTTTTTGAAAATATTATAGAAATGAATTTACCACTCTGCCACAGATTAGTTTAACACAGGGTGACGTGGCACTGTTGACACTTGGGCAGAATAATTCTTTGTTGTGTGTGTTGGGGGCAGGGAGGGTGGTCCAGTGCATTGCAGGGTGTTTAGCTGGCCTCTACCTACCAGATGCCAGTTAACACCCCAGTAATGACGATCAAAAATGTCTCCTGACATTGCTAAATGTCCCCTGGGAGGCAAAATTGTTCCCTGATTTAGAAACAGTGGTTTTAACATTATGACTACAACAAAACAAAAAACAAACAAGAAAACAACTGCCAGCTCTGTAAGTCCACTGTGGAGTCAACTGTGATTAAACTAGAGGTACATTTTATCTTTTAGTTCAAAATATTCTGTGGTGAGAACTAGGTCAAATTAATTATACCAGTTATGGTCTAGAGCTGGGCTGTCTAACACCACACGTGGCTACTAAGCACTTGAAATGTGGCTATTTTGAAGTGTAAAATATGCACTGGATGCTCAAGACTTGATATGAAAAAAGGAATGTAAAATATCTCAATTTTTCTTAATTGAACTACTTTGGGTATAGTTACTGGATGAAATATATTAAAATTAATTACACCTGCTCAGTTTTACTTTTTCTAATGTGGCTACTTAAAATTCTAAATTACATATATGGCTCATATTATTTTCTGTTGGACAGCACTGGTCAAGAAACTTGAGATGATTCAGTGTTATTTTTTTAACGAGTCTGGCAAATAAGCCAAAAATACTTTCGAAAGCTTTCCACAGCCCTGTAAAACAAGCTGGCTTTTGAGCATCATAATTCTTTATTATCATACACAAATGATTTTTTGGCTTCTCCAAACCAATTACTTCTACTCCAATGCTTTATTCTCCATGTTCCAATCGGTTCATTTCTGATCGCAGATTTCTCTTCCGGCTGTTCTCCATCATTTTCCTGCACATCAGTTTCCTTCGTACACTCAGGAATCTTCTTGGGAGGATGCTGAGATGCTGCAGCGTCCATCATGCTCAGAAAATCATAAGCAGGCAGAGGAGGTTTCCATTCCTGAGCAGGTAAAATGGCTGGGAGGAAGATATAATCAAGGGTTAAAGATGAACAGGTATACAGTATCATCACATGAATATACTAGAAAATGTTTTATTTTGAAAAATAAATTTGTAGGAGTGAAGGCTTCATCAGTTTCCCTTATCTACACAAAGCTAGCTTTTTATTATCATCACTGTCTAAGAAACTCGATATATCATTTGTCATTACTAGACATTTTCCTATTTATATGACATTTAGAAGCTATTATGTTTAAAATAAAGATAGGTATTAATAGGAAAAACACAAAAGGTCCATAATCTCACTACCTGTTAACCCTTGTTGAGGTTTTAAAAAATAACTGTGTACAATGAGATTACAGACAAACAGGTACAAGTTAAAGTGAAAACGTCTCTTGCTTCCCTCTCTTCCCCTGTCTTTATCCCAAAGAACTGTAACTATTTCTTACAAATCATTCCAGAAAAAAATTTTGGAACATACAGATTATTTCATTGTTTAGACAAATATTTCCTTACATTTAAAAGCATTTTCTGTTTTTGAAGATTTGATTAATATCCTTTGCACATACTTTATTTTAAAAAGTTCATTTTATAAAAATAATTATAGATGAGGAATAATTAAAAATTGCTATGGAATCAACTGTAATATAAACAGTGACTGGATAACTTTTCAGAAGGACTTCATGGCAGTGAATCTTAACATTATTTTAAAGCACTGGTCACAAGAAGCGGAAAACTGATTTAAGCTGATAGCATATATATATATATATATATATATATATATATATATATATATATGAATGATAAGTTAGCTTTTCTCCATTTAGTAGACAGATTTCGCACAACAGGAATAATTCAAGAATAGGAGCAATGATATAAAGAGATAATGGAAACCAAAGGCATTAAAATAATTGCAGCAGAAGATATACCAGTCTCTCAGGAAACTCAGAAGAATAATTCTGATTCCTTCCTCTTTCTTATGGTGAGTTGAGGAGTCAAAGCCCCCAAGGATTCTTGGAAGAAAGGATCTCTCCACAAACAGTGATAATATGCTTCAGATTTCACACTTTAAAGTATATGTCTTTGAATATTTAATTTTATTTGATTTTTAACATAACTGGCATAGAGTCGGAACTGTTAATCTCATCTTACAGCTGTAGAGGCAGAAACAAAGAAAAACTTGCCTAAAACCACACAGTCAGTAATCAAGGAGGCTGGGTCATAAGCTCAGGTTTCTGTGTCTTTGAACATCACACCACCTTTTATAAAGCAATTCAGTTGGAACGCCCTACAAAGATAATCCTATCTGATTCAGTCAGAGTCCACAAGGCATCTGTGTCACAGCAGCTGCAAATGACAACACTCACTGCCACTGTAAAATGGCAGTGCAGCTAGAGCAGTGAACGCAGGCTATCTCGAGAGTAAAGAGTTCAGGAGATAGAACCCACAGGACCCCGTGGGGCGTGGCTAAAATGAAGACACCAGAAGTGAGTGACGACAGCCACAGAAAAGCTTCTTTCAGATGATGACACACAAAACAGTTAATTTTTTACATTTCCTAGGAAAATAGTAAAACACCAACAAATTATCTCAGAAAATTAAGATTTAGAAATACCATCTGAAAGGACTCAGAATAGTCAAAATCTTCCTGGAAGTGAAAAAGTTGGAGGAATCAAACTTCCCCACTTAAAAGCTGCTATATCAAGACAGAGAGGGTAAGTGGCACAGGCATCTGTGTATTTGATATAAAAATATGTACATGAATGTTCACAGCAGCATTATTCATAATAGCCAGAAAGAGCAGACAACCCCAATGTCCATCAACTGACGAATGGAGGAAGTACGGTATATATCCATATAATGGAATTAATTCATCCATAAAAAAGAATGAACTACTGATTCACACTTTAATGTGGATGAACCTTGAAAACCTATGCTAAGTGAAAGAAGCCAGACACAAAGGGCCACATGTTGTATTATTCCATTTATATGAAATGTACAGATGAGGCAAATGCATAAAGATGGAAGGTAAATTAGTGGTTGTCAAGGGATGAAGGGAGGGGGGAATGGAGAGTGACTGCTAATGGGGAGAGGGTTTCTTCCTGGGGTGATAAAAATGTCCTAAAATTCAATCATGGTAATGGTTGCATAGCCTTGTGAATATACTAGAAAACAAACAAACAAAAAAACAAACAAAACCCCCACTGAATTATACACTTCAAGAGCACATTCGATGGTATGTGACTTATTTCAATAAACAAATACTGCCTATAGACTATTTAAACACAATAACTTAGTTAAAACTGCCTAACAGGAATGAAGCAGGCAGACCACCTGGGAAGAACAGGTGTGCTGCAGTGATCGGCACTTTAAAAAATTCAAGAATCTGATTAAATATACACAAATACACATAACGATAAGAGTCACAGGATGCATCTTGGCTGAGAGACAATGTAGCACTGAATTGGAGTTTACACACCAGAACTGGGTGTGTATATACAATTATATTTTACACACACACACAACCCTTTTTTCAGAACTCGGTTATGAACAGGGTCCAAATGTTATAATATAGTTCATCTGGTTTCCAGTAACAAAATCCTTAGAAGTATCTTAGGAAACTTTTCATTACATCAAATTTTACACTATTTCCTCAACAACTAATGATTTAGCTTATTACATGTTAACTTATTTAAATTATAGCAACAGACCTGGTGTTGCCACAATTGTATCTAAGTTAACATACACATCTATACCACAGGTATAAGTCCACATAGGTTTTAGAAACAGGGACTACAGCATGTCATAAGCCAGCATCGTAAATTCTGGGCCAAGATTTATCTTCCTGTGGTTCAAAATTCTGGCTCTGGAACACAAGACAGCCAGGCTGGAATCCAAGCTTCCTCATTTACTGGTTAATTATATGACTTTGAACTAGTTACTTAACTCTTCTACAAGTAATCATACTTCATACGACTCTCCAGAGGATGAGATCTTGCAAGTGAATCACGCAGCACTGTGCTAGACACCTCGTGAGCATTCAATAAATGTTATTACTATTGAATTTTATATGATGGCACTTATTTTCAATGGGTAATACCCACCATATAGGAGACTGTCCCATGGACAACGCTATCAGCATATTACTCATTAGCATACTTACAAATACTACAGTTCAAGTCATTTCTAGCATTCATTAGCTAGAAAAACATGAAACAAGATATAGAATTGTGCATATTAAAACAGAATACTTACTGATGTGGCTTTCTAGTCCTGCTTCAACTTTTTTCAGCCACAGTAGAAGGTTTTGTTCACTTATAGCCTGGTCTGAAGGAAATGCAAATACTTGGCCACCTGAATGCAGATTCACCACAACAAGAAGAGGAAGCGGGGGCAGAGTGTCAAAATACGCCTGCAAGATTCCTCTCCCCACAGGAGTGTTCTTTCTATAAAAGGGAGCAATTGAACATGTTAATTAATGTTTCTTTCTATAACAAAATAATAACAATAGTGCATAAAACATTAACCTTGAAATATATCATGCCAGTATGTTTATCAAAAGATGTCTTAAAAATCAAGAGGTCTTGACAGAAACTCATGTGTCTATAGCCCATGGGTTATATCCAGGCACAGTGGAGTGGTATGTAAAATACTGTTTTTGGTTTCCCTCAGTGTCTTATATTAAGATTAACATATTGTTGCTTCCTGTTGGTGTTTTAATAAGTAAGATAACCTTGCCTTTTGATCAGGTGTGGATATGTTATCTTATTAGTAATCAGTGTCTTAAAAGTTTCTTTTAACATGGGGCACTGTGTTTCTCTTATGAAAAAAGGCAGCCGATGAGAGTTTTAATGAAAAATGTAGTCCAAAGGCTTCTCAATTTCAGCTTGATATAATCAATCGGTTCCTTTCAAAATTTAGTCAAGTATCTGATCACAAGTCAGCTCAAAAATTAAACGAGTACAAACTATAAAATAACAAGAGACTTATAATACTCCTTTTCCAAATAAAATTGTCTTTCCTCAGGATTAATTTCAAGATAAGAAAGATTTTTTTAAAGTATGTTCATACAGGGAAACTAAGTTTAAGACAACTAGTCTTCCTAATACAGTGCATCCCACATTATGGAACGTACTACTTTATTGAGATAGTGACAAGGATAATTACCTGGGAAACTTCTGTCTCAAGTAACAGGCTGTACTGTTAGCTCTTCACAGCAAAAATGTACTCTGCTCTTATAATTTCTTAAATGAGTTAAAAATGTCTTCCATCTGATGAATTTGAATAATAGTGTGTGTGTGTGAGTGTGTGTGTTGTGTTCAGAGACATTAAATATAACAAACCATACATCTAGAAAACACACCAGGAAATACTGTTGGCAAATTCACTGGAAACTTTTTGTAACATTTTAGACTGCATTTTAAAAACAGAGAAATATAGAAAAAGGAACTAAAGAAAAATACCAAAATATCACAATGTTTACTTTTCTGTTTGCTTTGCCAAATTTTCCTCAATGAATATCCATTACTTTTAAAATCAGAAAAATTATTACTTTAAAAAGTTTACTGAATGACACCAAAAACAAAAGCAACAAAAGCAAAAATAAACAAGTGGGAAAACATCAAACTAAAAATGAATAAGGGATTGATATCCAAAATAACTAAAGAACTCATAAAACTCAATGACAAAATAACAAATAATCCAATTTAAAAAGCACAGAACTGAAAAGACATTTCTGCAAAGAAAGCATACAAATAACCAAAAGGTACATGAAAAGATGCTCAGCATCACTAGTCATCAGGGAAATGCAAATCAAAATCACAATGAAGTATCACCTCACATCTGTCAGAATAGCTATTATCAAAAAGACAACAAATAAGTGTTGGCAAGGATGTAGAGAAAAGGGAACACTTTTGCACTGTTGGTGGGAATGTAAACTGGTGCAGGCACTATGAAAAACAGTACAGTGGTTACTCAAAAATTAAAAATAGAACTACCATAGGATCCAGCAATTCCACTTCTAGGAATATATTGAAAAGGAAATGAAAATAGAATATTGAAGAGATATCTGCACTCCCATGTTCATTGCAGCATTATTCATAATAGACAGGATATAGAAATAACCAAAGTGTGAAAAGATGAATGGATAAAAATATGTGGGTATATGTATATGTATATGTATATATACACATACACACAGTTACATACAATGGAATATTACTCAACCATGAAAAGGGATATCCTGCTATTTGCTACAATATGGATGGAACTTGAGGGCATTATGCTAAGTGAAATAAACCAAAAAGAGAAAGACAAATACTACATATTAGTATCACTTATATGTGGAATCTTTTTCAAAAGGTCAAGCTTATAAAAAGAGTAGAAAAGTTGCCAAGGACTGTAGTGGAGGAAATATGGAGAGATTGGTAAAGGAATATAGACTTTTCAACTGCAAGATGAATTAGGTCTGAGGATTTAATGTATATCATGGTGACTGTAGTTAATAACACTACTATATCGTTGAAATTTGCTAAGAGAGCAGAACTTAAATGTTCTTATCCCCCCACCCCAAAATGTACATATATAAAACAAATATGTGAGGTGATGGATGTAAGTTAACTAGATGGAAGACACTTTTCACAATGCATACATATATCAAATCATCACAGTGTACATTGTAAATATCTTACAATTTTATTTGTTAATTATACCTCAATAAAACCAAAAAGACAGTACCACACAGAAAAAAAAAGTAATTTATTATAAAACAGAATTCAATCTAAAACAAGGTTATCTTAGACCATCTGAGGGAGTTTAGTTACTAATATCATGATGACATATACATTGGTTCCATAATATTAACTCTAAATGTGAAGTTTAGAGCATTTCATTTCCTAATGAAAATTTAATAATAATTGTACTTTACCATTAACATAGTAAAAAAAAATTAAAAATATACTTACATATTTAACCAGCAAGGGGTAAGTGAATCCAAGTGTTTCTCTTTTACCAGTGTCAATATGGCTTTTTTATGCTGAGGATTTATGCTGCCATCACTGAATAAAATAAGTAACGGTTTCTTAAGTCTTAAATAAGTGGGAAGATTTTCCACAGTAATTTCTGGCTGTTTAAAAACAAAAACAAAAACAAACAAAATATGGGGAACGATGAAGTATAAAACAGAAAATAACGTTCAAATCATTCTTGCAATTTTAGTTTGTAAAACGTATTTCAAACCTATTTTCATTTAAGTGGAGATTTTGTTATTGTGGTTAGCAACTATCAAACTCAAGAGTTTTTTTTTATTTAAGCCCACCTTGTCTTAATAATGGGTTATTTTCAAAATAAAACTGCTAATAGAATTTGAAAATAAACCGTAATGGAGTCCCCTGTTTTACAAGGATGTAGCACTTCTAATAATTTCTTATGCTAAAATCTGGACCAGACTGGCCAATATGCATGTGACAAACAAAACTCTTGTTATAAATTTTTCCTCTAACACAAAATTTTTGAAAAAAATATAAGCTGAGCTTTAAAGATATAATCTTTTAACATCTTATTTCTTTTTGACTCAGTGCCCAACATAAGCTCTTGAAGCTCAATAAAGTTTGGAATTGAGGAGTGGTGGCTCCATTGCACCTGGGTCATCAGATCTGCTCCGGGTAAGAGCTGCTGGCTTGATCAGATGTGTCAGTTTTAGGAAGGGGACATAACTCGTGTAGAAGATAAAAGATAATAGTTACCACAAGACAATACAGGGGAGTTTGGAGGAGGTAGGATCTAAGATTTAAGTCATAAAAGAGGAAGGTGTGAGAAGAGGATTTTGAGTGGGAAAGAGTGAATAACAATGAGAACTGGCAGAGGAAAGTGGCTTTGAGGATAGGTAGGGAAAATTATATGCCAGAATTTGGTGTTTGAGGATGGATCAGAGGTGGTTGGCACTATAAAGAAAATAAAATTATTCATTTGGATTTCAAGTGAGATCCAATGAAAGGGGCAGCTGGTGAACAAGGATGCCTGGGTGCTAGTTTCATTCAGTTCTTTTCTCCTGCTCAGCTGTGTGACTTCAGCAAGTCAGCTTCTTTTCATTGGTTTCCTCATGTCATCTGGGGATTAGTTACCTGATACAAGATGATTTAATCTAGCTCACAGGTACATCCAGAAGGTGACTTAATAGATGTGGAACTAAAAATGGAAAATGGTAGAGCCTTTCATATTCTTTAATGGGGGAGGGGAGGGAATGGAACTGAGATCATAAAAAGACTTAAAGAATACATTCATTTATATTTGAGCCTAAAATGTAATGTCATTTAGCTCATTATGACAAAAAACTATAACAGGAGGATATTCATTCAGAATTTATAGCTGATAACAGTGCTCCTATGACACTTCAGAAATGTAAAAAGTATAAATTTATAATATTCTAGCTATACTTAATACTAATGTAAAACAACTGAAATCAAGAAATGCAGGTTACATCTGTTGTGCCCTTGAATTCACTATTATACAAAGTAAGCACTGGAAAAAGACTTCCTGAAGACAGTGTTTTGCTCTAAAACTACATAAACAATAATACTAGCTAACATTTGTTCCAAGTTTACCAGGATCCAAACACCACACACAGAGCAATGAACACAGATCTCATTCAGTCCTTATAATCACCCTCTGCAGCAGGTGCTATACCATCATCTACACTTTACATCTGTGGAAACTGAGGCACAGAGACATCTACATACAGGCCAGTAAGGAGTCAAGCAAGGATTTGAAGCGGGGCAGCCTGCTCTCTGGAATCCATGGGCTTTGTACCAAGTTTCAACCTAGATTAAGTACTTTAACTGGCCATCAGCCACAGTCATCTCAGCAATAAAAATAATCCAAGACATGTAAAATTTTGGCAGTGGACTGGAGAAGCTGTATGCATAATGAGTGAAAAAATAAAACAGCAACCCCCTGAATCTTCAGCTCACAAAACATCACATCCTGTGGCAACAAAAGCTGCAAAATCATGCATTAAAATACACTATCTTTAACTGATCTAGGTTTTCTTATTTCAAATAGCACTCATATTATAAAATATACTCACAAATGTTTCCAGTAATGCATTTGTTATTATTTGAACTATGTCTTGCGCATGGGCGTTCGCTAATGGAATGCTCTCTATTTTGCCTTCTTGGTGTCTGGCAAGCAGCAGGGCTGGAAGAGTTACAGCGTATTTATCTGACCTATGGAGAAACGTAGTATTAAAATTTCCAACTGAAATACAGCAAGTCATCAAAAACATGAACAATTCGACCAAGCGGTCACAGTAGAGGCAGCAAATGAAAAGCCCTACTACTAAGGAAAAAATGAACACCATTTTCAGATAAACTTATCTTCTATGTGAGGCTATTTTGAGCAAGTTCAAGAGCTTTGATAACCTAGATAAAGGAAAGCAACAGGGGGGAGAGCACAGCTCCATGGCAGAGTGAGTGCTTGGCACGCATAAGGTCCCGGGTTCAATCCCTAGTACCTCCATTTAAAAATAAAAATAAATAAATCTAATTATCCCACACACACAAAATAAGTAATTAAAGAGAAAGCAACAGACAGTAATCTAGCCAGATTTTTTTTCTAGACAATTTAATCATCAAGACAATGTCTAAATAGGATTAGGAACACACTGAATGGTTCTCAACTTTTTGGACTGCTCACAGAACTGCTGAGCAAGGAGACAGGCATTTATTAGAATGGGCCTATTATTTGCCAGGCACTAAACCAGGTGCTTCTAGTTAAGTTTTTATTTAACACTCAGAACAGCCCTATAACCCCCATTTAACAGATGAGGACTTAGAAGGTGATAAACAGCAGAGACAGAATTCAATCTGAGGTATTCCAGATACAGAGCCTGTGCTCTGTACTGAAACAGAGTCCAGATCTGCCTCTTCCTACCACTACTTTCGCAAACTAAACCTAAAGAAAACCACTAAATAAGGAGAAAAAAAAAAGACTTTGCATAAAATTACCAGTGAGGTGGTCACATTTATTATCATGTAAAAACTTAATTCATGCTAAAACAAAGTGTAGGCATAATACTATAAGCATTAGTAGAGAGCCCAGTTCAGATTACCCAGAGGACCCTCTTAGTTGACCAGTTGTTTATGAACAAAACATACTCTGAAAACTACTGGTCCAGAAGACAGTGGGTGACTGTCCGTGTGTCCAGTGAGCAGGTATTACATTTCCTAAAGATCTGGAGTTCAATATTTACTTTTCAAAAGTCACTGGTTTCATGGATAGAACAGGTGCTTGATCACCAAAAGTCTATGTCACCCGTGTTCAGGATGAAAGATTTAAGCTCAGAGATCACAATTAGAAATAATATGGTCAGACGGTAAGACAAACCACTGGGCTTAACAACTCCATGTGCATCTGAAGATGAGTCATTAATGCAGAATGTAATGTGTATTAATAATCTCCAAATTTTCAGTTCAGTCCTTCATTCTGCAGCAGCTGAAATTATTTGATAGTTCACTGGAGCCCCAAATTCTACAAATAAAGCAACTTAAGTGACAGTACTGCTTAAGTGTATGTCTGCAATAACAAAATTAAGTAGAACTATCAGGTACACCTCTGATTTTTCTATAGACCTCTGTGGCAAATCAAAACCCACACACTCAAGAAGTAAAATTCCTCAGAACACTATGACAACCCAAAAGAATTAAAATTGCAAGTAATAGAACCCAAGAGGAAAAATTTTATAGAAAGATGAAATAGTATGAATCCAAGGTTGCCCCAGTGAGGAGCTCTAGCCTAAAGTAGAATTTTGAATATCTGAAAATTCTAAACAGCCAGGTGGTACTTCCTAGATATCCATAGAAAAAAATTAAAAATTTAGTTATGTTGCTGTTTTTCTTCACCAACTGTGTAGAGACAAGCAATGTATTATTTTGCAAACTTTTTCCTCCCTAAAATTAAAAGACCAATAAACTTACAGTATCAAAATATCTTCTTCAGAATAAACTCCAGTGATAACACATCCTTTTAGGTGCTTTCCTGCTTCAGTGAACTCTTCTTTTGCTATAAATACATAGACAAGACAAAAATCTGAAACTTTTTATGCAGTTGAATTACTGATGAACAGATTTACAGTAGGGTTGGAGTCCTGATTCTATCCAAACTGTTGCCGCTTCCTGTCCTTGGTTAAGTCATTTATCAATTCCTTTGTTTTTGAGGCAGAGACGGCAAGCAGTATGGGGATTTTCGACTGCGCAAGGGGTTGGTACCCTTAACCTCCTAATTTTCAAGGGTCAACTGTAATTGATAATTGTAATTTATAGGACTCTAATCATAGAGAATTACTAAATAAACATTTGTTGCTTTTTAATTTACTCCTAAGGCATGGTAAATGGAGACAGCTGTCCTATATGTAGCCTGGAAATAAAAGCAGGTACGTTATAACCACAAAATCTGAAAGTGCCTATATACATAGAAAAAATAGAAGACTGGAAATTCTAGTCCTCTAACAGCGTCCGTGTTAGGGTTCTACACTTAAGAGGGATTTGTGTCTTCTTTTATTTCCTGTATTTTCTGTAATGTGTTTTTGTTACTTTTGGACTTTGATTAATTTGGGTATAATTCTTCTCTGATTTGTTAGGATATACATATTCAAAATAAAAACTATTATTCTATAGATTTCTGAATATACTCATAAATAATAGCATATTCCAGATCTTATGACCAAGAAGCAAGTCTGAATTAGCAGCTGCAGACTAGTAAGAAAAGAGCAGAGGTGGGCTCTTACAAATGATGTGTTCTTGCCAACTAAAGGCCAAGGTGATAGCTCAGCTCACTACATAAAAGGTTCACAGCAATTCAAATAGAAAAACAATGATGGAAAAAATGAATCATAAAGCACTAGTAGTCTGGGTATGCTGAACCCAAAAGATCTGTAACTTAGCAGTCAGCACTATATTCGTGATGTGAGCATCAACATTAGTAACACTGGAAACCGCAAGATTGTTTTCTTTAAAAAGGATACGTACTTTCCACAAGGCTGAGAAACACTGTAGAAAAGCCAACTTACTGGAATGGCACAGTCCACCAGCAGACAGCATTGAGAGCTCATTTATAATCATAAATTTAAATGAGAAACTAGTAACCCATGAAAGTATTTTCTTTTGCCTGTGCTATACCACAGTAGAAAAGATTCATAAGAAAACTAAGCAACTAGAAAGAACTGAATGCCTATACTTTGATTTCTAAGAGAAATTCTCTAAATTCTGGTCAATAATGGATGACTATTGTCTAAAGCAATGACATAATGGAATCAGTTTCAGCTTCTTTTTTTGGTAAGTAATAGTGGAAAATTACTCTAATATTTCCACGTAATTTCCTCATGCAGAAGACCCTAAACTCATGAATGTTTCTTGAAAGGCTCTTCATGAATCCACTTGGACATAAACCCTAAGTTATTTGTGGGATGAGGATATTTAAAACTGCAGACCTCAGATGCATATCCATTCCCACTAAATCAGTGCAAATCCTCCTCTGAATGTTTAAAACCAGGCACATTCTTCTCCTTCTGAATATACGGCAATCTCAAATATAGGGAAATAATCATTTACCTAGATAAAGTTTTTTTAACCACTGTAAGTATACTTGGGATGTAATATTAATGGTGACCTATAATATTTAGTTGTTTTAACTATAAACGTTTAAAGTACATAAAATAAATACATTAATTTAGCAATACTACTTTTTCGCACTGTCATTTTATTAAAGTTATATTTATATACATACATATATAGATATATCTATATTTTAGCTCTGTCAGCAAAATAGTTGAGAAGTAAGAACACTTCAGGAACTAAAAACACTCCGAACCCCTAGATCTTGGCTTCTAAATTCAATGTCCCACTAAAAGGAACCTGGACTTCTTGGAGAAATGGCTGATTCTAGGAATGAGGCTGGGAACATTTTGTGTCAAAAGAACATACTCAAAAAATGATGGAGACATATCAAAAGGACATGAGAGTCAGAATGAAGGGGCTCACAATGACCAAATCTGGGACAATTTGAGCAAACTAATGACAGTAACATTATAATCCATTGAGTGAAATAAGAACTCAACCATCCATACTGATAAATAAATGAGAAGGAAAAGCTCTTATAGTAGTATGCCAACTAATAAAGGTAGAAGGAATAATGGAGTTAGAAAACTTCCACTCAGCAACCAACACTGTAATAGCTCTTTGAGGCAGTGTATTCTGAAACTGGTGTGCAAATGTATAATGAGAAACGGGACATTTACAAAGTTTTAAAGTATATCCCCGCAAGATTATTTTTTAGTCACAAAGGAAAATATAGTAACTTTCCAGTAGAGGGGCCTGAAAGATACCCCAGTGGATAAAAGAGACATTTCAGCCCTCATGGAACTCACGTTAGTCTTCAAATATTAGAATCTATAGGAACAACAAATAAATATCTGATACAAAGTAAGTGCTCAGCAAATGTTAGTAGTTAGCGTTTATGATTAAAATGCAAATGTACATTAAAATGTTAATGTATTCATAGCTGCCTGTTATTGTTAAACATTTTCTCACTCAACAGATGTTGAAAATCCAGCAACTATCATACGGATGTCTGCAAAAACAAAAATAAACAAAAAAAGAAGAGGAACTAACACCTGACTGCAAAGGCTTAGTAGCAATCAATGTGAAAAAAAAAAGCATCATATTCGGATTGCATCATTCTAGCACACCAGAACTACCTTTATATACTTTAACCCTATGCTTTTGACTTCTGTTGAGAGATAACTGCATGTAAACTTTATCATTTGTATAGAAATACAATCAAATACACTGTTCCTTATGCTGATCCCCTACATAGAAAAATGCCTCTTAGGATGTACAGTCAGAGAAATGGATTAACTTATATGCTGCCATTTATTATGCAATGATGATACACTGGCAAAATTTTCATCTATTTCTTTTTGCTACCAGATTGCTTAGGTTTAAGTTTTATGACCAACTGCATGTTCTCTAGATATTCTACATAATTATCCCCTACTCTTTTATTGCTTAACTCTTATCCTTGTTTTAATGATTTTATTGTATGTGTGCTTTTTATTATGTGAAGACTAATTCTTTTTGGAGGGAGGCCCAGTGTAAATAATAAACGAGAACTTCAGGACACCAGGCACCTGAGGTAGGTAGAAAGCAAAGTCAACTGTGGGTACAGAAACATTAGAGAGGGAAAGATGGAGGAGTGAAATAGAGACTCATTCACTTCACAACTTTTCACAGAATACAAATTAAAAAGTTACACCCTCTAGGATTTTGCCTACTAAGATGGTTAAACCACAGAGTACATATTAACATTCTTATTATTTCTCTCTAATGAGTTCTTTTGGCTTTTATTTTTAAAGATTTTGAAGACAAAGTAGAAGGGAAAAATTATTAGACAGCAATTTGTAGAGAGCAAAATTTAATAAGTAGTTAAACTATATACAATTATAATGCTAGACACTGGGGATCTTCTTCCCATACAAGTATCGTTAAAATATTTCATTCAGAATTTGAAATTCATCTTAAAATGAAAGAAAAGTAAGCAGGGGGGAAGTTTGCTACATACATGGAAAGAGTCAGCATGTGATGAAGAAAACACTAGGGGTTTTGCTCCCCAGTCAAGAGGCCATCCATATCCAAAGCCAAGAGAATTGCGTTCTAAGCAATGCCACTGCTCAGAAAAAATGCCCTGTGTGCCCTTCCTTTGAAACTTACTGAAAGATCCATTCCCATGAAGGAGGAACAGGGTTAGGGGTAGGAGTCTGAAAACAGAAAAGTTGTGAAGTAAAAGAACACTACAGTCTATAATGCTGTAAAACTAGCAAAGTGACGCTAACTGCTGGAAGCACTACAGCAAAGCTGAACACTGAGACGTCCACCCGAGATGCATCAACGAGATGAATTACCTCATGGGTGGTATGTGCCAAAACAGGTATGGTTAATACCAACGGTAGATTCTGGATGACGGGGGTATGTGGGGATTCACTGTGAAATTCTTTCATCTTTGCTGTATGTTTGAAATTTTTCATAATAAAATGTTGGAAACATACATGCAGAATATTTTTGAAAGAGAAATATACAATGCAAAAAAAAAGCTTAGCAGAAATGATACTTTGAGTCTATAACATGAGACCATAGAGGCTCATATAGAGAAAAAATGGAAGAAATTATAAGCATCCTTATTTTCCATAAGAAGGAGTCAAAATCATTTAAATGGTCTTTAAGTTTATGGATTCCAATACATTTTAACTTCTTTAAAGAACATCTTCTATAGCCCTGGAGAAAATAAAACCAAAGGCATACTCCATATAGAAATAAAATAGAAAAAAACTAACTAAAGAACACCAACGAAGCATAAAACAAGCAACAGACATCCAAATAAGTTTGAACAACATGTGTAAATGGCTGAAGTTCATCTAGCAGAGTCAACAGACAAAAGGTTAAGAAAATGTCAAAAAGAAAAAAAGAGACTTGACCCAATCATATATTCAACATATATTATAAAACTAACAGATTAAGTATCAATAGGCAAAGTGAATAAAAAAGAAAACATTTATACGCACATACATGTAGAGAAGTGGATTTAATATGGTGATGGTAGAATCAAAAAAAGGACAATTATTAACCATGTAGACACAAAGTTGGCTCTAACTTTATACCGTGAACAAATACATCTAAATGGTTGAAGATTTAAAAAAGAAAAGGGTCGGGGGGGGAGTGTAAAAGCAAAGGACACAATTGATAGTGAAAAGGAAACCTACAGAATGGGAGAATATATTTGCAAATAGTATATATGATAAGGGTTTAATATCCAGAATACATAAAGAATTCCTGCAACTCAACAACAAAAACCAATTGAAAAATGAGCATAGGACACAGTGTCTAAAGAAGATGTACAAACAGCCAACAAGCACATAAAAAGATGCTTACTAATCATTAGGGAAATGCAAATCAAAAGTCATTACCTCATACCCATTAGGATGGCTATTATTAAAAAAACAGATAATAACAAGTACTGGAGGATGTGGAAAAATTAGAACCCTTGTATATATACTGTTGGTGGGAATGTAAAAATGGTATAGCCACTATGGAAAACAGAGTGATAGTTTCTCAAAGAATTAAAAATAGAACTATCATATGACCCAGCAGTTCCGCTTCTGGATATATATTCAAAAGAATTGAAAGCAGGGTCCTAAAGAAATATTTGTATACCCATATTCACAGCAGTATTATTCACAACAGCCAAGAGATCCCAAGTGTCCATCAACAGATGAATGGATAAATGTGTTTTATATATACGACAGAATATTATTCAGGCTTTAAAAAGAAGGAAATTCTGATGCATGCTACAAGGTGGATGAATCTTGAGGTCATTAAGCTAATTAGCCAGTCAGAAAAAGACACTGTATGACTTGACTTTTATGAGGTAACTAGAGTAGTCAAATTCATAGAGACCAGTGGTAGGCTGGTGGTTGCCATGGGCTAGGGAAACAGGGAAATGGAGTTACCACTTAGTGGGTAAAGAGTTTTTCAGTTTTGCAAGATGAAAAAGTTCTGGAGATTAGTTGCACAACAATATATAGTTAACGCTAGTTAACTATACACTTAAAAATGATTAAAATGGTAAATTTCATGATAACGTTTATTTTATCACTCAGTTTTTAAAAAAGAACATTCAAAGCAAGAAGACAATATAAATTAGAGAAAGAAAATATAAATTAAAGCAAGAAGAAAATACATTAATTATAAGGATGATAAAGATTTTCTACAGCTAAAAGCTATGGAAGAAATCACAAAATCAATAAATTTGAAAAGAAATTTTAAACAGCTACATATAAAATTATTAAGCAAAGCTAAAACGCAAAACAACAAACTGGGGGGAAATAAGTGGAATAAAATGACAAAAGCTTAATACGCTTAATATACAAAAACATAGTAATCCATTAGACAAGCACTAAAACCCATTTTAAACAATGAATAATACATACTACATACAGTTTATAAGAAGACAAAGTTATTCTCCTATTGGGAATCTAAACCCATTAAATAGTCTAAAATCCACACAAAGACTCATAAATAAAAATATTCTTTACATATAGCAAAAAGAAAAAATGGAAACAACAAATATTATTTGTTGGCAAACAGTTAAATAAATTATGGTATATTCATCCAATCAAATGTACAGCCATGATGTTTTTGAAGAACATTAATCACATAAAAAAATGTACCCATGTAATGGTAAATAAAAACAGCAAGATACTAACCTAAACACACAGCAATAGCCCAGTTACATTAAAATGTGTATTAATCTGCAATACATAGGTACACAGCAAAAAGGGAAGGAATTACATTAAAATTTAACAATTCTAAATAATTACAGACTTTCTTTTCTTCAAATTTCTCTATTTTTCAAAATTGTCTATATTTTGATTTCTCTATAATTTAAAAAGATAATAATTCTTTAAAAGCCTTTTTAAAAAACTAGTAAATGAGTCTTTAACCATATAAATGTTTAATTCCACTTACCTGTTGTCATGGTTGGACTAAACAGCCCCAGTACTGACACACGAGAGTAGGTGATCAGGTCTTTATATAATTCCCCACTTAAAAATTCTTCTGCTCCTTGGACAGATGTTATGTTCACTGGGCATGAAATCCTGTTGCTGGATGAATATTTAAGAATATTCAAAATTAATTTTTAAAGATACTGTTCAGCTCGTAAAAAAATAAAATAAAATATACTGAACTTAGCAAATACTATATTCCATAGGATAAACACCTGACAAAATAAAGACAATTAAATACTATTCTAAACAAAAAAATCAGCCTCATCAAACAAAACTGCTATCTCCCCAAAAGTGATGGAATGCAGATGGGCTCTCCTCATCAGTGTTTATCCTGTGATCTCAGGTCATACCTATTCAAAGAGTGTCTACAAAGTATGGGAATTAGAAGTTTTATAGACCTGAAATTTTAAAATCTTAGGGGAAAGCTGAATACTTACAGCTGGATAAATTTTAGGAGCTCTTCAGTTCCTAACATACCAGCATAAGACACTGGGTTCTCGCCTTCCTTGTACATCTTTACAACAGGAAAGTCAGTGACATTTTGCTTAGTACATACATAGGACCAGTCTGCACAGTTTACTCTAGTAAGCAGCAGAGTGGATGTGCCTAAATAAAGGAAAATGCACATTTTATACACGTTAAGGTAGAAAACTCAGTTTTTGAAAACTGTCAATACTTTTATATTCCATTCTTTTAACTTTACAGCAGCACAAAACACTTCTGCGGAAAGATTCTCTTCCCTTGATTTTTTGCAACATCATCCCCTACTGGCTTTTTTGCCAACTCTCAAGCTGTTCCTTTTTGGTCCCTTTTGCAGGCTTCTCTGCCAGTGCAGTCAGGAGTTCCTCGAGACTCAGTTTAAGCTGCTTTCTCTACCCATTCTATCCTCTCTTCTAAACAATCTCAGGAATCATCAACAATCAAATGAATCCTAAATTTATAGCTCTGGCCCAGGCTCCTCAAAGTTCCAGACCCATGTATCCTGACTGCCTTCTCTATTTCCCTTTGCATGGAAACACCCTCAAATTCCAGACGTCTGAAACCAAATATGGTTTCCTTCCTCCAAATATTGGTGGACACTGTTTCTGAGTTGTAAAAAGATAGCAAAGTACCATCTTTCATGCCTCCCCATTCCTAAACTCCACATGTCCAATCACATCAATCAGCATCTGCTTCAATTGTACAACCTAAACTTTCAGTATCTCTTATATCTGTCCGTTTTTCTTTATTGCCACTATTCCAGTCATCATTTCTCCTAATTCATTTCCCTAAATTCAATCTCTACACTGAAGCTAGAGATATCTTTTGAAAACTCAAATCTGTTTTGTTGCCAGCCCACCCCCACCAATGTCTGCAGTTAGGTCTTCCTCATCCCTTCAGATCTCTGCATGTGGGACCGCTCCAAGGACGCCTCCTCTGACGCACTGACCTACATCAGACTCCTGTGCTCTTTTCCTTATCTCATCATGTAATTATGTAGCATTTGTGTTGTGGTACGATTAGAGCTCCCTGAGAGTAGGGACCATGTCCATTTTCCCCGTCACTGATTTTCCAGCACCTGGAGCAGTCCTTGTATATTAAACACCTTAAATATGTGTGAATAAATTACACACGTGGAACTCATCTAGGGTTTCACAAACCCATCTCCTCTAAATACTATAATTTCTTTTCAGCCTAAGAAAACAAGAGTAGAATCCCAAAGAGAAGTTCCTACTTGTTCAACACTCATACAGTTGATCCTTGAACAATACAGGTTTGAACTGTGTGGGTCCACTTACATGTGGATTGTTTCAATAGTAAATACTACAGTACTACACAAACCAAGGTTGGATGAATCCATGCATGTGGGCTCTCAGCTTGAGGAACCGTGTATACAGAGGACCAAATCTGTTATACTCGGATTTTCTACCGCACAGAAAGTCAATGCCCCTAATCCCTGCATGGCTCAAGGGTCAACTATATATGTGAAGTTCTCCAAAATATGTAAATCATTAGGCAGAAAGATATCAAAAACCAAACAACAAACCATCACACAACTCAGCTACTGAAAGGAAGGAATACATTCCAACAAAAGGAAACTTTAATATAATATTAGATCAAAGAAGGAATCTTTATATATTAATTTAGGATATATCCTAATTTACTGTAATCTAATCCTATGATTAAAATTGTGAAGTGTAATATTTTACTATTTTATCTCTGAAAATTTTTAATACTGAAAATTCATTTTTATATTTTAAATGATCCTAGGTTATATCTCATATGCGCAATAACTTATCACCTCAGATTTAGTGTTAGCAATCTGTCTGGTAATACAGGCAGGGTCTAGTTTGTCTTATTCATCACTATAAACCCACTGCCCAGCACGTCTGTTACACAGTATGTACTCAATAAAAATTTGTGGAATGCCAAAAAAAAAATTGTGGAATGTACCCTGATATTTCTTTATGAACAAATTTTCAATGTTTACACTAAAGTATACTAATACCTGAATATTATATAAGCCTAGAAAAAAAGATAAATCCTTAATCCTTCTAAAATTAGACCTTCTCTCTAAAGTTTTCTTATCCTTTATTTTAATCATTTAGTCAGTAAATGCCTAGTGGTGCTTGTACTGGTGTTTGTTGTTACAGAGTGTTATATTGCCACCCACGGATGGAATACCATGTTATTACAGACGTGGTTCTTTCCCTTCAATAAGCATCCTCCATAGGTCTACCACTGCTAAAAATGTTACTATTCCTTTGTCCCTGCAGTCCAAGTTGAAAACTTTGATGTTATTTTTAAAAATGAAGAAAAAATATTGATACATGTCATGAAGAGTTATAAGGCTACTTGCATTGAAGTTATCAATGTAAAGTTTTTATTTTCTTTCCTGTAAAATGGTTTCAATACTTAATCATGTTTCAGATGAAATAGTCTAATATTCTAAGATGCCTGTAGTATTATAGTCCACCTACTTTATCAATGCAGTAATTCCAAATAGGGGTCCTAGTTTAAAAGAAAAGAAAAGAAAAAAAAATACCAGACTCTCTAAGATACAAAGTATAAAAACTTGATCTTTGCTGCCACCTTGTGACTGAGTATAGAATATTCTTCATCCTCTTGAACTAAGATGAAAAGTGGTTTTTTTCCCAAGTTGACATGAAAGACTACAGGACTAAATACCCAAAGTAATACAATATTTTCTAATTTACAGAGTTACAGTATAGGCTTCAATACAGGCACAAAATGCTATTGTAACCTATATTACAATTTTTTATTAAGCCCCATGAACTTCCAAAATAGTCCACTTATCTGATATCTAATTACCAAAAGGATTGTTATTCATAAAGAACATACTAATTGAAAAAGGAAATCAAGTCCTAGGTTGGTTATCTGCTTTTTCATTCTACAAACACACACAGCTCAGAGTCCCTGCGTTGAGGGATCAGGTCTTTATTTGGTCATTAATAAAGAAGAAAGAAAATCTTTTTCCATTTTCACTTGGTATCTAACCAAGTGGGCTTGTGGGAGAGAATCATTCTATTATTCAGGGCCATTATCCAATTACTATTTCATTATGGTTTATATTTTCCTCCTCCTTTTCCTTTCTTCTAATTATTTCCCAGTAAGGCTGGGCAACCTAGAGAAGAAACTTAAATTTGTCTATAGAGTGCAACCAGAGAGGAGAATCTGAAAGAGAGTAACAGGATTTGCTTTAAAAAAAAAAAATTAAGGATCATCACAGTATCTACAGATGGACTCACCCCCTCATTTGGGGAATGAAATGATCAAAAGTTGGATCAAATGTGGTTGGGAAATGAATGGAAGAGAAATGGTTCAAAAATGATTTTTAATATCTCTGATGTTTTTATTACTATAGGACATGTTACATTTAGAGTTGACTTTCTGGAATCAATTTCCTGAGTTTACAACAGTCCCCAATAAAAATAAAAGTTGTATAGCAGTACACATTTTCCACTAAATAAAATTTATGAAACTCTACTATCTCAGCTTATTCATTTATTAAACAATTATTAAAAACCAGATATCCTGTAAAGTGAAGTAATGCACCAAGTCCAACGAGCTGAGTATAAGGCACACCACCTACGCCATAAGGAACTTACTAAATAATAAAAGAGCCTATAAGCTAGTGTGCCCAAAAACTTAATGGTGGATGCATTCCTGGAGTAGCCAAGAATAAGCCTATTTAACCATAATAACTTTTATTAACAAGAAAATCATATTAAAGATACAAGCATGATATATTGTCTTATTTAGATGATTATAAAGCATACATACCTCATCTATCACTGTCTCTTACTAACACAGGCTTCTCTACTTCTCCTTATGTCTTTGCTGGAATGGTGGCATAGATATTTTTTAGTCGATTCCTTGGCTTCTTATTTGTCTACCACTGAATCAGTTTTCGTTGAATAGTTAAAATTAAAAGATCATGGCTATTAAGAAATATCCCACCCATGAGGACCCAACTGTATACCTTCAAGAACATTGGGATCTTGGATCCTTCATCAAGCTGTGAGACTGGTCTTTATGTATCACATTTTTATTTAATAGGATTTAGTATTTATCTAATAATATTTAACAGTCACTGGCACAGAGTAGACACTCAATAAATGTTTGTTGAATGACTAAATTCAGCCAAAAAGGTTACTGGATTAACTGTAGTTTTATGAAGACAGTCAAAGTGAATGCTCCTGAGAATTCTGAAACTCATGGTTTATTAACTTATTAACCTTAGAGACACAAACATAATAACCTGAAACTTTATGTGCTTCTACATCTTTAGCAGACACAGTTTACAAATAGCTACAGCTCAGAATCAGGAAAACATGCATGCACACCACAGTATAGTACCTTTCAATTTAACTGCCACATCGATATAGGATTGAAGAAACGCCATGGATATTGCTTGCCCTACATTAAAATAAAAAGTTAAACAGATACTACAACATGCATATCTCTAAAGCATCCATACTTACATATAACAAACATATAGATTTATGGGGTTTCCTAAAATTGTTATTTCTTAATAAGAAATATCCTAGTGTGCAGTACTCAATATTGCCTAAACATTTAAAAGGGTTCCTAAAGCATCTAATTTTCTGCATTCGTACTGCAAGGAGTTAAATGGCTATTATCTGAAGATAAAAGCAATTAACTGCCTATACATCTATAAGAATTGTTAATCTATTAAAATCATTTGCTTGCATCACAATAATTTTTCTAAATTAGGAAGCTTAACATCCAGTTTGATCATTCACCTTCAGTCTGTAAGTCAGATATATATAATCAGTATAATCAGTTTTACAACCCCAGAATCAACTAGAAGTATATGTTTCAAGGTGCAGGACATATGAAAGCTATGTCATTTTACAATGTGCAATAACGGAATGCAAAAATAAAATGTCTACTTTAAATGTCCTACTATGTAATGTAGTCATCTACTGGAAAGGCTCATACTCACAACTCGCATAGAAGAGCACCAGGCTGTCAGAAGCTGTTACTGTCGCATTAAATGTCTCTTCTGTTAGTTCCACTGTGAGTTCCAAAGGTAAGTCTCTCTTCCTGTCTCTGTAGACAGTTTCTGCCACTTCATCATCTTGAATATCTAAAATGTTTGAAAAGGAATTCATGTAAATATAAATGTGTAATTAAAACTATTTAAGCTCTTCTTCTAGGCAAGCATACAAAAATTTGGTACTTTATAAAACTTCTGATTCATACTATCTTAGTATTTAACATGCATGATATTTAGAAAGCTTTCCAGTTGTCTGGCTACCTATCTTAAATGACTCTGAGATGCTTCTTGTCCCAGAAATTGTCAAGTTTTAGTCAACTCCAAAAGGAATTAAACTTGTCAAGAAATACTGTGAATACTGATCTTCTGTTTCTAATAAATATATTAATTTATAATCCAGAAAAGTCCTCCCAAACATATTTGACAGTGTTTCTTTAGCTTCAGCTGCATGGCAAGCACTGGGATGGAGACTAAAGAGAGTGGTAAACAAAACAGACGTAGCCCCTGATCACATAGAGATTCTATCTATGGAAAAGTCAGTCAATAAACTTACCACCAAATAAATATCTAAGTATAAATGTGATTGGTCTAAGAAGAAAGGTAAAAGACACAATGAGACTATAACAGGGAGATTGAGATTGGGAGATCCAAAGTCTACCAGATACATAATCAATAAAAAAATTTTTAGGCAAAAAGAACAGCATATGCAAAGGCTCTGAGACATAAGGGACCTCAGCACATTCTAGGTGCTGAGGGAAGGCAAATTTGACTAAAACAGGATGGACTGAAGGAATGACATGAGAAAACTCTAGGCTAGGCAGTAGCTGCATCGTAAGAAGCCATATGAGCCAAAAATTTTGGATTTTATTCTAACTATATTGAGTTATGAGTGGATTCTGAATATGTAAAACCTTTCATTAGTCACAGTGTATAGAAATATCAAATTATGTTGTATAACTAAAACTAACATAATGTTACATGTCAATTAAATCTAAAAAAAAAAAAACTTTTCATTAAGAAAGACAGACCCACCCACCCATTCATCCATTTGTCCATTTATCCATGTATGTGGTTAAAAAAACACATTTTGAATTCATAAATATCCTGTTAGAAGTCTGTACAGATTGTAACACTGGAGGGACATCTAATTTGATCGGAGAGACAAAGCTTCCTAGAAGGGCTGACATTATCTGAACATTAAATGAAAAATAAAACTTAGGGAGGCAGCAGAGGCACGTGGAGTAAAAGGAACAGTATGTACAAAGGCACAGCAGCATGAAAAAGCAAGATGAAGCTGGAAATCTGAACACCGACTATCTGATACGAAGAACTGCTGTTAACTTTGTAGATGTAGTAACAGCATTAATTACGTCCATTTTAAAAGGAGAATCCTTATAATTCTGAAATACGCAGGAAAATCTTAATGGATGAATTTATGTGTTTAGAATTTGCTGTAAAATATTAAGGGGTGGGCAGTGATTGGAAGACAATTAGCCATAGACTGATGGTGGATGGGTGGGGCCAGGTAATGGGTGCCTGGAGATTCGATCTATTCTTCTATCTACTTTATGATGTTTCTAATTCTCTGTACTAACATACTAAAAAGGAAGAAGTGAGGAAGACAAGGTATTCAGAAAACTAAACTATTATTTTCCATATGATTTCTAATACTATAAAATACCAGATATGGATTTCAGTACCATATCAGCAATTTTTAGCTATATGGCTCTAATCAGTTACTTAACTCTGTGTCTCTATGTTCAAATCTGTGAAGCATAAGAATTACACTATATTAATTTTAAGGCACTTTTAATTGCCACACTAAAATTATACCCTCAATACCAAAATTAATAAAGGCCTATTTTCTCATTTACTGTATGTGTTTTCTTATTAGACACATATTTTCATTTTCCTGCCAGTCTGTTCTTATTTCCCAATCCATCGTCTTTTCTCTTATCCTATTCCAACACCTCCTTCCCTCTTTCCCATCCTCTTAATAAGCCATCCCCATTTGTAAATTCATTCACTCCTCATCTCTACCTTTCATCTATTCACATATATATAGACACACATACATATACATACACATACACACACTCTGTTTAGCCATTCATGTTCATTATTTTCTTTCATATTGTTCTTTTGTAGAACCCAGTCCATTTTGTTCTGATTCATCCTGTGACCATTTCCTGTGAAGGACATCTCTCTTTGTATTCCAGTCTTACATGATAACAAACTCTTTCCAAACCCTCATCTGTTTTTCCTATGTAAATGGGAATGAAATGAAAATGGGAAGCAAGCTGTCCACAGGAGCTACATCATACCACATTACAGGTCAATATAGATTACAAACATAGGAAGTTAAGACCAAACCAAGAAACAAACAAACAAAAAACCCACTACAAAGCAAAAAAAGAAAAAAACAAAAAACAAACAAACAAACAAAAAACAAGAGACAAAGCTGTAAAAGAAACACCAGAACTGGACTGGGAAAAGAAGACAGGTAGAGAGAAAATAAGGGAAGGCAGCACCAGAGGGCAAACTAAAGCTGGAGAGTCAGGAAATAATATAAAGGATGTGACAATAAGGAAATTTTGAAACAAGCAACTCCCAGTGAGGACAGGAAACTAAACTGACATCTGGATGAGTCCCCTGATTCTAAAGATCAGAATGTATCAACCATGATAGGAATAAAGCAAGGAGCAAGAAAGCAGGACACAGGTCAGCCCATGTAATGACGATGCTGCGGAGAACTCTGGCTTAAATCACAGGCAATTCTAACCTCTGTATTTCAGATAAGAATGAGAGCAATGCTCAAACCAAGAAGCTGGTCACAGTGAAAGCTCAGAGCCCTTATTAAATTTATAATATAGATTTTGATCATCATAATAAATGGACCTCATGAAAAGAATATGTAAATTACTTCCATCTTGGGACTCATGATAATAGGGTTATATACAAAGTATTTACTAAATGGGATACAAGAATGTACAAGATACAATCTCTGCCTTAGAAATTGTGTAGATCGGTAGAGAAGAGAGAAAAGCAGATGAGCAATTTCAGAACAGGACTGATGTCACGAAAGAAGATATCAGGAATGATAATGATCACAAATAAGAGATCAAGTAAGAAGGCTCCACCACATGCCACGTGTGTGACCGTGGGCAGATCACTTAACTCGGCTAAAACACAGATTCTTCATCTACAATATGAAGGTGACATCAGCTAACTCAGAGGATAACTATTAGAGTAAATAATGTCTGGGGGAAAAAAAACCTTGAAAACTATAGAATACTTCAAAAATGTAAGCAGTAAGAGCAGTAAAAAGAAAAAGAAGAGATGCAAATTTCAAATTCCCAAATTATCCTTTCCCACCTACTAAAAATGTTAGCTATCTTGATTGTGGTGGTAGTTTCATTGGTGTACACATCTATCAAAATTCATTAAATTGTACATCTGAAGTATGTGTAGTTTACTGTACAAGAATCATACCATAATAAAGGTGTTAAAAATAAATAAAAATAATTTTTAAAGTTTTTAAAAAGACATAACATGTTACAAAGAATATTCAAATATTATTGAAATTTATTCCCTATATTGTTACCAGATTTATTTACAACTCTAAATACAACTATATTTATTAGAATTTCATATCCTAATAGAAATAGTAAAAATAAAATATCACATGGCGGCTCCTGGGTTCTCTTTAAACATGGAGTAGACCAGGAGGGCTGAAAGAACTGATGGAGAGGATAAAGGCACAGGTGTGGGAAGCTAGAAGCCTGACAAGGAACAATGAAGGGTATTGCACTAAACAAAACATAGCATCCTTACATGTCTTCACCTAATCAACTTGCTAAAATGAGATTCAAAATTAATTTCTTCAGGTTTCTTCATACTCTCAAATGGGAAAGTTAACTCACTGAAATTTCACTGAACTTAGGGATGCTGGGCAGAAATGGGAGGGGTGTATGAGCATTAAAAAACATATTACCCATATCTGGACCTTCCATGTCATTGTCTTCATATTCCTGTGTTTCCTTCATGTGCGTATTACTTTCTACACGGGATATTATTAAATCAATATCATGTAACACCAAAAATTCCACTGGCACTCCCTAGAAATACATAATTTTAAAAGACATGACTAAAACATAACAAACCATTGTAATAAAAAAAAACTTTGCTTGTTTGACACTAAAATGAAACTAAACCTGTGAACTGCAACTTTAATATTTAAAAAAACAAAAAGGGGGAAATAAACTTCACAATCACTAGTAAAAGTATCCAAAGTATACGTTCTATAAAGATAGTGTGTGCTACCGAAAAAGAGGGCAAAAAAGAGGAACTGACAGTCTCACTTGCTCCTTGTCACAATTACGTTATGCTGAATTCTGAAACATTTCACATATAACAGTAAGTCCTACTTCAATACAAAACAGAAATATATAGTTTTATTGCAACCAGGGCCAAAATTATTTTCAAATATTCAAAGTAATACTTTATCTAAAATAATTCCACAAAGAAGTTCAATTGCCTATTTAGCCATAACATAAAAATACTATCTGCCACCAGTTATTTTAAGAATATAAAATTCTATTCCATTGAAATTATTCCACTAGAATTTCTTTCACTAAGGCTCAACCAAACATTTTTAAAACATGAGATTTTAGGCTACTAGATTATTTTAATAAATTATCCCTGCTACAATCTCATGATAAAACTTGAATGGATGAAGAGTTGCTTCTCATGAATGAGCAAAGAAAGTGGTTTCTTGAGATGGAATCTACTCCTGGTGAAGATGCTATGAAGACTGTTGAAATGACAGCAAAGGATTGAGAATATTATAAAAATTTAGTTGATAAAGCAGCAGCAGGGTCTGAGAGGATTGATTCCAATTTTGAAAAAAGGTCTACTAAGGGTAAAATTTTATTAAGCAGCACTGCATGCTCCAAAGAAGTCGCTCACAAAAGGAAGAGTAAGTCAGTCAACGTGGCAAACTTCATTACTGTCTATTTTAATAAATTGCCACAGCCACCCTAACCTTCAGCAACCACTGCCCTGATCAGTCAGCAGTTATCAACATGGGGGCAGGAGCCTTCACCAGCAAAAAGATTACGACTCACTGGAGGCTCAGATGATGGTTAGCATTTTTTAGCAATAGGCATTTTTTATTTATGTACATTTTTTTGAACATAATGCTATTGCACACTTAAAGACTACAGTATAGTGTAAATATAACTTTTATATGCACTGGGAAATCAGAATGAACTTTAATTCTTCTATAAAACCTATTTCCCAATAACAAATACAGTAATTTCCTATTTAAGGATCTTTACTAGCAAAAAAAAAAAATAGCTCCAGAAAGTATTCTTTCCATTACCTTGTCAAAAAGCAGAGAATACTAGTCCCACAGGATACATATTTGAACAATACTACATTCTCAAAGTATTTTCCTATTTGGTCTTATACAATTTCTTATAAGTTAGAAAGGAGGGGTTTTACGACTATTTCACAAATGAGAAAACTGAGCTTGAAGAGATTAATTCATCTATCTGGTCCCAGAACTAGAAGGAACAGAATCCAAGTCTTCTAACGCCTAACACAGTATCCCTGCCATAGACTTACACAAGAGAATTTAGGTGTAAACTGTCTGGCAGTTTGTAAACATATCAATAATTTTTTGGCACATGTATATAATATTTAGATGTTCAGAATTAAAGAATTCTTTTTAGAGAGAGAAAGAAAAAAGAGAGTAAGAATTTTTATTATGGTATTTTAAAAGATGACATATAAGACCAGAGGAAAAAATCCTAAATGCCAACAATAGTTATGTAGGATCTAAATTTTTTTTCAAACTTGCAGAATGTTCATAGTATACATAATTTTATAAGAAGAATAATTTTAAAAACAAATCGGTGAAAATAGAATCCCATAGTTCCCAATGACCAGTTAGCTGATCAGGCTTCATCTGATTTGGGGCAGATACAGTAGTTTGAAATGTCAGGCCTTTGGCTGGGGAAGGAAGACGTAGGTGGGGCAGGAAGGATGGTCCTCGTGGTTTTTCTCTGTAGTGTTTCACCAAGTCAAATCAATGCATTAAACGCCTCTTCCTTTCTACTTGTCCCCAAAACGGCAAAGAACAACACAGTGAGGCAGAAAGAACACCCCAGCAACCTTGCAGGGGCTTTGGGTGGCGGGCCAGGCAGAGGGCACACCAGACACTCAATAATTCTTAATTAAGAAAAAGTTAAGGAAAAAGGAACATTAACGGAAATTTACAAAGGAAATACAAATGGCCAATAAACCTTCAAAAGCTCAACCTCAGTAGTCAAAGTTATCAAAGACATGCAAATTAAAACAGGAACTGTTTTACAGAAACAATTTTTTTAAAGATTACTGCTCAGTGTTGGCAAAGATACATGAGAAACAAGGAATTCCAAACCGTGCTGGTAAAAGCATAACCCTTCTGGAGGACAATATGACAATGTATTTTTAAAGTCTTAAAATTTTCCTTTTCCTTTAACAAAATTCACTTCCAGAAATTTAGTGAAAGGAAAAGAATCAGTGACGTCCAAAACAGTGTAAAGAGCAGGCATCACAGCACAATAGCAAGTAATTCAATGTAACTGTAGGGGCAAAGTAGGACATATAGCACATCCCTAAATTTCTTTAAAAATATATATATTTAGTCACACACACAGAGAAAGAGACAGACTAAGAAATGAAGAAAAAAAAACCCACACCAAATGTTAACAGTAATTATCTTTGAATAGTGGCAATTCACAGAATTTTCTTAAAATAAGCATATGTTCCTTTGGGACCACATGTACTAAGTCTTTGTAAATAAGCAGACTTTGTAGACCAATATATAAAATGACTAACCTCTTCTGCTCTTTTGAAGATCACATTAGCATGCTCGGGAATGTCCACTTCCAAAGAGTCCCTTTTTCAAAATGGAAATAAATGTTTTATGTTGCTACTCTCAAGAATAACAGTCATCCAGGATGTCAATCTAAAATAGAACTGTAAGTTCTTACACTAAAAAAAGTTTATGAAAAAAGGTTACAATTTAATGAGTCGGAGAAGTTTTGTACATAAACACAGACCAGATTTTCTCCTGTCTTAATCTACATCTTCATTTAGCAAAGTTTAAAGGTCTAATTTTAATCAAGCTGATAATTAATATATCAACTTTAGCACAGCAACTGGGTCTAACTATATTAGAATCTGTTAGAGATTTGAGTTTATTTACAAGTGAACGGACTACCATATAAGAAAAACATTAGTGTTCTGCTAACCACAGTATAGTGAATATTCTGTGTTTAAAATACCTTAACAAGAGTAGAACTCCGGCTTTTCCGAGAAGACGCCAAGCAACCCATTCCGCAGTTGTTCTATCAGCTTCATACGTAGCTTGTCGACTAACAATAAAAACCAGTGGTAACCCTAGTTGGAGATGAACAGTTGAAACTTGTTGAGGATCCTCAGCAACTTCAGTCTTCATTTAGAAAAAGAAAAAAATGTCTTCACTATGCAATAATAATGTTCCAACATTTGCATTTAAACCCTATTAATTCTTATCAATAAAGACATAAGTAAAAAAACAACAAACAAGTAAATAAATCCAACAACAGCAGCAATGGTCTTATGATTTTCTAAGTTTAATGCTCCTGGTGTACATATATAGGTATTAAGCATTATGAAACTAACAAATTTTATCAAGAGTTAACCATAAAGAATAAGCATACTATAAAGAAACAAAAATAAGTAAGATAGTGTGGGAGGAGGGGAAAGCTCAGTGGTGGAGTATGTGCTTAGCATGCATGAGATTCTGGGTTCAATCCCCAGTACCTCTGTCAAAAAAAATAATAATAAATAAACCTAATTACCTACTCCCCCTCAGAAAAAAACAAAAAGTGTTTAAAAAATTAAGTGTTGTATTGATAAAGAGATAGATATTTAAAATGAAACAGAACAGATAGCTGCGGGACAAACTCTTCCATGTAAGAATTTAACATACAATGACATACTACAGGACAGGGAGGAACATCTGAGTTGACATCTGCTTGAATACACACATCTAAAAGCCCAGGAAAACTACAGCAGTGGGATTTTTCAAAAGAGATAAACATACATGTGTGAAGAGAGGAAAAGAGAAAAGGCAGCAAAATTTTGGAAGCTAGAGAATTCACTTAGAGAATCTACAAAGCAAAACCCTAAGCCATGAGAGAAAAAGCTAAGAAACAATTTTAACTGCAGAATCCTAAAACTGCTCAGGAAATGCTGATGCCTGGCACCTGTGGAACTGGGAGAGAAACACTGGAAGGGGAATGGCAGGGAGGCTCTAAAATAAGGAGGAAGAGGTAAAACCTTTGGAAAAGCAGTTAAATCCCTAGATTTCCCTCCTCAACTCCATGAGCTTAGGCAACTGTCCTCCTTTATACCAGAAGAGATCTGGGGGGATTTCTGTAACAGCTGAGAGTGTCAAGACCATGCCCAAAGGAGGAGGAGTAAGTAACCAGATGCTCAGACTCCTTCCAGCCCCTCCCCACTCAGCTCCCAGAATGCTAGCAGCCAGACTTCTGTCCTCCTACAGAAAACTGGAAGATCCTTTTCTGGGGACCTTGAGTAACCACAAGGAAAACCCTAAAGATACTAACATCGGGGTTCACCAGAAAGCAGTCCAGGTCCAGGCACCCTGTGGAGCTCAGAGTTAACAGTGCCATCTACAGTCTCAAAACTTCCAGTCAGCCTTTTTAGTTTCACGTGCTAAATCACAAACAAGGAGTTGCAAGCATTTGAGGAAAGCCTCTAACATAAAAGGTAGAGATCAGAACAAACACAAAAACAACATGGAGGAAGCACAGACTATTCAGGAAGAAGAAAGGTTCAGAAGATCCCCACTGATAAGCTCGAGGAGATGGGAAGGCACTGCATCCATAAAGAAATGAAAAATAAAGTTGAATAAATCTGCCAGAAAATGCAGCAAAAGATAGATGGAAAATAGAAAAGATAATAAAATTGAAGGGTTGGTTCAAGAGGCCAACGTTCAAATAGGAGCCCCAGAGAGAGAAAAGGGAGAAAACAGAAGAAATCATCACTGAAATAAACACAAACATTTCCCACAAATGACTGAAAGAGCCCCCTGAGTAACCGATACAGGGAATAAAAGCAGATACACAGGAAGATGCATTCTTGCAAATCTTCCAATTATTGAGGATTTTTTTTTTAATCTGAAGTTTCCAGAGAGAAATCTATATTTACCTATGGTAGGCAGAATTCTGAGATGGCCCTCAAGATTCCTAGTGTACATGTCTTGTATAATCCTTATCCCTTGAGTGTGGGTGATACTCAGAACATAGTTATTCCCTTAATTAGATTACATTCTGTAAGACTGTCCTAGCACAGTGGAGCGAGACTGTCTGTTGGCTTTGAAGGAGAAAACCGCAATTTTGTGAGAGGGCCATGTGGCCAGGATCTGAGAGTAGCCTGCAGAAGCTGAAAGCAATACCAGCCAACAGCCGGCAAGAAAGTGGGACCTTCAGTCCTACGACAATACAGAACTGAATTATGCCAAAACCTGACTGGGTGGAACAGCATGAAGGAGCAGAAAAGCCTTATTTCTTCTTTGAGTATTTGGAGAACTGTAAGTAATTCAGTATTAAAGTGAAAAGGAGGAACAAGCAAGAAGGCTGGAGATCTGGCAAGGGGCCAAATCATTAAAAACCATACATATCCTCCTAAGAAAGTAGGGCTTTGTTCTGTAAATAAATTGAAGCCAGTGAGGAAGTGTAAAAATTACTGTAACATGATCATATATGTGCGTTTAAAAATATCACTCTGTGAGCAATGGGGAGTATGAACTTAAAGGGAGTGAAATATAGGAACGTAGACCAGCTTAGTTGCTAAAACAGTGCATGAGAGATGGAGAAAAACCTGGATTAAAGCACTGGCTTTTAGAATGAAGAATTCAAAAGATATTTAACATATAGAATTAGATGCAGGGAGAGGTAGGAATTGAGAATGATTTTTGTAGGTTTCTGCCATGAATGAGTAGACAGTAAACTAACCAAGATAATGGAGAAAGAACACATGGTAAAATACAACACATTAATGTTGGACAAGTTGAGTTTAGGAGAGAGACATCTAATTAGTAGTTAGATACATGGGACAGGGACTCCAAAGAAATATGAAGCCCTGAAAATTCAAATTTGAGAATCAGTGTACTTAGTGCCACAGAAACAGATGAGAGCACTTGGAGGGTGTGTTCCAAGCATCTATCTCTGTGTACGCAGCAAAGCACATTGAAACCTGATGGCTTAAAATTACAAGAATCACTCATTTTATCCATACGTCTGTAACCTCATCTCCGGTCCAAGTTGCATTAGTGGCGCATTTTGACTGGAGGTTCCACTTTAAAGATGGCTTATTCACTGGCTAGCAAGCTGTTGCTGACTATTATGAACTCAGCCAGAGCTGTGAGTTGGTGGCCTCAATTCCTCTTCACATGACTTCTCCTCAGGCTTAACTTCACAGCAAAGTAGCTGGGTTTCAAGAATGAGCAATCAAACAGAGCAATGCAGAAACACGTGGCATTTTGTGACATACAGCCTCAGAAGTCACATATCATCATTTCAGCCTTGTTCTGTTGGTCAAGGAAGTCACAGAGGCCCAACCATTTCAAAAGAGGGGACACAGACTCCACCAGGGGATAGGCACAGTGATAAGGTTACATGTTGAGAAGAGTTTCTGGGATGGGAGATATTGTCATCGTCATTTTTTAATCAAAGTCTGATGCGATGAGGCTTTGGGGAGAGAGGAGTGAGTGTGTTTTGAAAACGGGACAGATGTCAATTATTGTAGTCCACAAATGATAAATGTTAGAGAGGGTGTGGAGAAAAGGGAACTCTCTTACACTGCTGGTGGGAATGTAGTTTGGTGCAACCATTATGGAAAATAGTATGGAGATTCCTCAAAAAACTAAAAATAGACTTACCATATGATCCAGCAATCCCAATTCTGGGTATATAACTGGAGGGAACTCTTATGTGAAAAGATACATGCACCCCAATGTTCACAGCAGCACTACATACAATAGCTAAGACATGGAAACAGTCTCAATGTCCATCGACAGATGACTGGATAAAGTTGTGGTATATTTATACAATGGCACACTACTCTGCCATAAAAAAGAATAGTGCTACTTGCAGCAACGTGGTTGGACCTAGAGATCATCATTCTAAGTGAAGTAAGCCAGAAAGAGAAAGAAAAATAACGTATGATATCACTCATATGTGGAATAAAAAAAAAAGGACACTATGAACTCACCTACAAAACAGAAACAGACTCTCAGACTTATAAACAATCTTATGGTTACCGCAGAAGGGAGGTAGGAGGGGATAAATCTGGAAGTTTGATATTTACAAATGTTAGCCACTATATATAAAAATAGATTTTTTTTAAAGTTTCTTTTGTATAGCACAGGGGACTATGCTCAATATCTTGTAATAACCTTTAATGGGAGAAAATATGAAAATGAATATATGTATGTATATGCAAGACTGGGACATTGTACTGTACATCAGTAATTGATATATTGTAACTGACTGTACTTCAATTTTTTTTTAAAGTGAAAAAATAAAATAAAATTTCAAGTCACCAAAAAAAAAAAAACTTTAAAAATAGAACTACCATATATGATCCAGCAATCCCATTTCTGGATATATAACCAAAAGAACTGAAAACAAGATCTCAAAATGAGATATTTGCAGAACCATATTCACTGCAGCTTTATTCGCAATAGTCAAGATGTAGAAGCAACCTAAGCATCCATCAATGATGAATGGATCAGTAAAATGTGAGACTAGACAGACACACACACACACATACATACACACTGGACTATTATTCAGTCTTAAAAAAGAAGGACGTCCTGACAAATGCTGCAGCATGGATGAACCTTGAGGACCTCATGCTAAGTGAAATACACCAATTACAAAAAGACAAATATTGCATGATTTCATTTATAAGAGGTCTCTAAAGCACTCAAGGTCACAGAAGCAGAAAGTAGAAGGGTGACTGCCAGGACTGGGGAGAGGAGATAATAGGGAGTTGTTTATGAATGGGAATAGAGTTTCAGTCATTCAAATGAAAAAGTTTTAGAGATCTGTTGTACAACAATGTGCATAGAGTTAAGGATACTGTACTGTATACGTAAAAATTGTGAAGAGGGTAATTTATGTTACACATTTTTTGCCACAACAAAAAAAAAGGATATGAGACAATAATGTCAGAAGCCAACACCATGCTATATAATATTGTACACTGCCCCATGAGCCCTCAAGGAATAGGAGAAGCTAAATTAATAAACCATAATAGCATCGTTCTAATTACCTATGTAAAAGAGTAGGCTTAATTTAATTCAAGTGTCTTGGATCTGTCTGAGACAGTTATCTCAGATGCATAAACAAAAATAAAATTTACAGAAAAGTGATTATATAATAGTTTATCTATTCTAAACATTTTATCAGATATTTGCACTTGAAGATTCTTCCTAGTATTGAAATAAAAACTTTCCATCCATCAGTATAAACTGATCATAGCGAAAATCAACAGCATTCCAAAATGCCCTTGGGATTAGCCAACAGAACAACAATTGAACCATTTCCCATCTCTTTTCATTGCTGGGAACCTTAAGAATGCATTTAGGGTAATTCCACACCTGCCAGAATCTCACTTAATCAATTTAAGATTGAAATCACTTAAAATTTCTATGCTTAAGATTTATTTTCAGTTTGTCAGAATTAAAATGACATGTCCCTATCATGATTATAAGACACAGTTATGTTACACATCTACAATATTTAAATATTCAAGTACCCTATCTACTTAACATACACACATAAATATATACACAAAACCCTAATCTGCATCTATTTTCATACGCTTAGAAGTGAAGTAATAATGCATATAATTGCAATGATCACACACCCGAAGTTTACCAAAAAGTCTGAAGCCTGGTTTCCCTTTTTATTAATGTTTATAGATAATGTAAACAAATGAAATTATTTCAGATTCTGGACCCATGCACCTAGGCTACTTTGCAAAAACATCTTACTAACCATACAAAACCCAACAATGACTGAACCTCAAAGGCTTGTATACAGATTGACAATAAAGTAGGAATAGTTAAGAGTGATGTGAGAGGGAAATATGAGCATCAGTGGGGCCTTGAGGAAATAAGAACAAAGTAAGAAACACTCATTCAAAGTACACTACTGCAAAGTCTTGTACGGAGAAATTTGTAAGAAGTAATCAAATTCAGCTACTAACTTTCAGGACCTCACCATCCCCTTATCTAATTAACTACACTGTCAAAAGGCATAATCCAGTTACATCAAATCTTCACTTAAGAGGTGTTTCTTATAAAAGTGCTTGGCCTCACTTTGTTTTTTAACCTCCAGTATATTCTGCAACAGCCTTACATACCGATACAGCCAAATGTTTAAAGTACCAAAATGTAAAAGGAACCAAACTAGCTCAGAACCCTTTAACATCTTCCCACCCCCACAAGGGTAAGCCTTAGCCATCTCACCGAGAAGCTAAGGAATTGTCCGAGGCTCTGTCTCCTTTCCTGCACTCTGCATTCATTTGCTCTGCTCTGATCTGTAAAAGCCCATTAATCTGTGCTTCTTGGACTGCCAAGCCCTTCTAGGCCAACATCAAGGTGGAGATCCTCAGCATGGCTCTCGAATCCAGCACCGAGTTTTGCCTTTCAGATCTTTCTTGGCTCCATGCTACTGGCCATTCCTACCTATCCCAGTGTCTAGCCATGCTTTTGGAATGTCTGCCTGAATCCTACATCCCAGTTGTTAAGGGAAAAAAAGAGTTCAAATAAGACACTGAGGCAACGATGCACTTATGCAAAATTCTGTGAGAGTGTTGAGACAAACGCTACTTCAGAAGGGACTTTGACTGTCAAATTAATATTCCTTTTAGGTGAACAGTGGCATAGAGCACACCTGCATTGCACAATCCCAGGGAGGAATTCACATTGCTGTTTACAACATGTCTGTTTCAGGGGCTACCATTCACACAGAATATAAACAGTGCCCTTGATTTTTGCCACATCATGTTTCAAGTGAAGCCACACTGAATTGAATCCCAAGGTCATTACGAAGTCTCCAAAGTTTTCATTTTTTATTTTCAAAACTAACATTGCATAATTCTTGGTAAGTTTAGTAAAGTGAAGTAAAATCAGAGAATCTCCCTCCTCATTATCTATTTAAAGAAAACAACAGTTTTCAACACAGCAAAAGAAAGTTTATAAGCAGAAACGTTAGGAAAGAGGCACAACTTCAAGCCAGAATGTTGCAGCCAAAAAAGAACAGAAGTTTTTAGCAAAGTTTGGGGATGAGTCCTAATCCTACCCTCAATAGCAAAAACAGTACTGGTGAGCGGACAAAATCCTGAGAATTCTTAATAATATCTCAATATTGGAAGAAAAGGAAATGAGGTTGGATAGAAACGGTGAGGACCTGTCCAATGAACTGTTCTGTCTCTCAGGGCTTTATGGTGAACTGAAAGATCAAAACAAATCCAGAGGACATCCTCCCATGGAAGTAAGACAAATGCCTCCCTCCTCCACCATGTGAAAGGGAAGGGAAAAAGACCTGGTGCTTTTTTTTTTTTTCAATGCTGTTTGAAGCCAAAATCTAACCAAACAAAAACTGACCAAAATAGAGAACTCAGGAATGAAGCCACTAAAATTGGGACCAGGGAGGTCTGTATCTATTTAAACGTGGAAGCAAGGCTTTTTTAAAAAGTGGGAATTATGATTATAAAATGCAATCTAAATATTATAAACTTCACAATGTAAAATAACACAAAACTAAAATCAGTAGGGTAAGAGGAGCTGAGGTGGAAATAAACATATGAAGTTTATTTTCTCATCTTTTACGGAAAGAAAGAAATTAATATTGTCTAAAATGGAAATGTAGGGTTTTTTAAATAATGATTTTCATTTCTTAATGTTTTTTATAATCACTTTAACACTTAAGACAATATTTCCTAAAGAGCCCCCTAGTGAGGAAGAAATAATTTCTCAAAAGTTCCATAATCCCTCTAATTTCACGTTTCTTTTTCTTCTGTTAAATTTAAATAAGATTAAGTATAACGCTTCTTACTGCACAGTAGCTCATGCACTGTGTCTATTCATCCATCCATCCTTCTACCTGTGTGTACCCATGTGGATGCAGAGATGACTCGTGTGCTTCTTACAGTTCATTTCTGAGTATGGAGTTCAATGGCTTTTAAAATTTTTCTTCTTTTATACTTTGCAGCACTGTTTGGATTATTTATAATACATATGCACACTTTTTATTTTAAAAGGGCACAGTGAGTGAGAAGGCCTACTGAAGGTTTTACGTATGCTCAGGACAACCCTTTTTTCAGGGAGAAAAGTCTGCTGATCACCTATTGAGTCTCTCTAAAATTCTTCCAGGCTTGTGGTAAGGAAAGTGGGGCACCAGAAATGCTACAATTCCAATATTCATGAAATTTTAAAATGGGGATCAAAACATTCCAAAAGAGGTCCTTTCTTAACCCATGATGTAATCTTTGTGGTCTTCGAATGGTCACAGTTCATTATAACTACCACAGAATATTTCCACAGTTCATTACAACTACCACTATAATTATGCAATGGTTACCTTGAACAACAATGGTTCAAGGCATTAAAATATCATTTTATGAATACACAGTGTATCTTCTATTCTACCTTTAATGAGGAACTACTCCTAAATCTGCCTAAATGAAATAAATATGTCCAAGGGGAAAAGACATAGCTCATCTAAGTAAAATGCGTATCTGTGAATCAAAACAATAGAAGTTAGATATAAATCATCTAACATATTTAAATAAGACACATACCAGCAGAGGTGCTTCCATCGTCTTAATAAACCGATGAATGTTCAGTGTAGTCAGTGGCTGTTCCATTAGTGTTCTTCTACATTGCTGGGTCAAGTCCGAGACTGGCTTACAATGAAAAAAGTAGAGATGTGCGTATTCTATATCCTCAGTGCTGCAAATTAAAAATTAGGAACAGACCCACTTGAAGTTCAATGTGTGATCCCTCTATGGTGCAAAGACATGACAAATCCCTTTGTCCTAGTCTCAACGCTTCTGAATTACTGTTTTGGTAAAAATACAACAAAATGAAAAGGACCTGAGCAAAAAAGAAGATTAAAGAAATTTTTGAACTCTATAAACAATTTTTTTCCTCAACTCTTTCATACAGTAGCTTCTAAATTAGGTTAGAGACAGGTCTACATTTCTTTTTTTTTTTCAGATAAAAGACTGTCACCTTGAGGACAATGAGATTATCTTAAAATATATTTGTTTTTCTATAGCTATGCTAAATAAAGCTTTGTAACACAAATCTTCTAGGTTTAATTTAAACCCAAATCTGTTTTAAATAAACTTCAGCCAAAACATGCCTTAAGATAGAAACCATGTGACACTTTGTGGGAGTTTGTGAGTTTGTATCTGAAATATTACAAAGCTCAGCAAATATGGCTTATAATTTGAGTTTTGGCATTCCCTTCAACATGAGAATTCAAAGATAAACTTACAGTGAGTAAGTAAGGTCTGCCAAAATTAAAATAGCATTTAAAAAATCTCCATATGGCATTAGTAGAGTTTGGCAAAATACTGCAAATTTTTATTTTTACAATGTTATTTTAATTCTTGATACATGCTTTAACTGAGTTCCAAGATTCACTGATTTCAACATTTAATCAAAAAGTAATTTCTGACAGATTCAATGATTAAAGAAATGATCACTCAGATTATTTAATGCCTACTATGTTACGCCCTGCGCTAAGCACAAAAGACTAAGGTGAATAAGATGATTCAATTCCTTCGGGGGCTTAGACTGAAAGACATATATTTAGTAAAACAATTAAAATGCAGCTTTTAAGTGCTATGATATACAAATGCTATGAGAAACAAAGAAATATTTCATTCTGTCTCAAGTTGGGGAGGAGAAGGAAGGAAAGGGACAGGAAGATCATCATAAAGATTAAAAACAGTAAGAAAGAATCACTTCTCCAAGAAGACAGACAAGTGGGTATTTCAGACAAAAGGAACTAAATAGCCAAGACCCAATCAAAGTACTTGACTTTCTGAAGGGAACCCCAAACAGTCACATATTGCTGAAAGAAAAGTATGAGAGCAAGAGGACCCAGCTGAGGTTGGACCACATCTCATAACCTTTGAAATAATAAAATAATCTTGAAAAGCTATTTAATCAGAGGTCATCTGGTTGCAGGAAACAGAAACCAAAAAGGTGGGGGTAACGGGAATATACTGGAAGTTTAGAAGAGTTTCTCACAGAACACAAGGAAAATTCAAGTAACTGGTCAGAGAATAAACATGTAGATCTGAACAGCAAGAGTTCAGGGACCTTGATTTTGCCATTAACACTTTTTGGCTCCCAGCTCTTTCTCCTCTACTTCTACGTGAGCAAAACATTCCCGTGAGCAAGGAAGCCAAAATGCTACATAACCCAGTTTCTCCATGTCCCATTCCAAGTTCCTGGAAGACGGTATCTCATTCGTTCGGGTAAGTCAACAGATTGGCTGACTCTAGGTCGCGCGGCCGCCTCTGATTTAACTGACTGTGCGTGTATGTGGTGGGGCAACATCCTTCCTGGCCCACACACAGATTCTGCAGGGAGGGAACATGGGGAGGCAGCAGAGAGTGCCGGTGTCCGTGCGGCGCGCGACCTCTGTGCTATCTATCACACACACCCTTCCTTCTCCGCTGGCGTCTGGCCCAACAGGATGTGACAGCTAACACACTAAATTTAGCCAATGTTACAGCCCTAGCAACTGCGATGGTGCTTAGGATACAGAAGGCATTTAGTAAATACTTGTCGAATGAAAGAATGAACAAATGAGAAAAGTCAAAAGAAGTTAATCAAAGAAAAAAATATATTCACCTCTTCATCAGGAGACAGCTCAAAGTCACAGACAACTACATCCAGAAGTGATGTTAAGACTACATATTCTGAATCCACAGTCCTTCCCTGTCCTATCAGGTCCAGGTAGGACACCGCACCATTTTGTTACCCATGAATAAATGAGCGTGCAAACATGTCCAATATATCATATACTCAAAGAACATGAAAAACAGAATAACTACATTTTTTAATTCTCATTTTTAAAATGGAGGAAAGCAAAATCCCTTCTAGACATTAGCACGCTCAGTCATAGGTCAGTATTAGTCTATCTTGCCCAACAAGATTTGGAAGATAAATGAGAGGACCCACACCTTGCCAGTAAGTAACTACCTCTCTCTGTTTTAAGCATGTCACTGCTATTTGTAATTATTCATTACCTGAAAAACAAAGAAGCTGGTAACACAAGAGAAAGTAAAAATAACCTCAGAGAAACTATGGGGCTAGCAGACAGTCACCATGGGACTGGGGCTAGCAAGGCTTCCCCCATTCCAAGATGGGAGACTGGCAGTCCACACTGGGAGCAGGAAAGCAGCCGGCGAAACTACTGCTTACTGTATGTATCCTGAGACCCCGTAACTACTTACCACAGAGCTCTGTGGTACTGGCAGCATGATCCGCAAACTGTTAAGAACATTAAGTCTTATACAAATAGAAAACATGCATCAAACTTTTGTTTAACTCATTAAGGAAGGAACCAGCAGAATGGCAGTTTAATAAGAAGAGACTGATGGAAAAGGATGTTGTACAGAGCAATAAAAACATAACTTTTCTTTGTAAGCACTTCATCCTCTGCCTACCCACTCCTCACACACACACACAAATTTACAGAGTTGTAAAATGTCTCGGATTTAATTAATTGTGCGTGGTATATCAAATAGTCACTATTTTCTGAGAGGTCAGCAGGAGAGCTCATTAAAAACTCCTGCATGGTTTAAAAAGGTCACACAATCACCATTTTGCCTTGCTTTGGGTTAA